GCATTTCACTATTCTCTGTCAATATTTAGATAATAGTCTCTAAGAGGGCAGGGATTCCAGCTATCCTATTCCCTGCTAACACAGACATCGGAAGAGTGTTAGACAAAGAATAAAAACTTGCTGTCTCCATGAGAATAAGTTGGATTAGGGCCGTTGTGTTCTGCCCTCCCTCATCCTCCATTTTTAAATCTTTTTCTTCTTCTTCTTCCTGGTTTTCGTGCCAGATTCTCTTTCTCACTTTTCCTCATCCTGGTTCCTGCCAATTTATGATAGCTATTAAGAATATAACTAGCTTTGCGGCGCCTAGTTGGCTCAGTGTGTTAAGCCTCTGCCTTCGGCTCAGGTCATGATCTCAGGGTCCTGGGATCAAGCCTCACATTGGGCTCTCTGCTCAGCGGGGAGCCTGCTTCCTCCTCTCTCTCTGCCTGCCTCTCTGTCTACTTGTGATCTCTCTCTGTCAAATAAATAAATAAATACATAAAATCTTAAAAAAAAAGAAACTGGCTAGCTTAAAATTTATTTTAATGACCTAATTAGTAGAAATACATTCTCATAACATACTCCAATATTATATGCATATATGTTTATACACACCTATGTGTGTGTGTTTATGAAAAAGTCACCCACAATCCCAGCACTCACAAACACCTTTTCCTACCAATGAGTCATCTTCATTTCAACCATCTATCATATGAATAGACACAAATATACAGATATATGGATAAATATGTAGACAGATATTAATGTCAGTTTATTGCCACTTTTAGTTGTTTTTCTGAACAATTATTCAATTGTTAGTTGGCTCATATCTCTTGACCATGCTACCATTCTTATAGAATTGGTATACAGGATTAAATAAATTAACATTTGTAAGATTTCAAACAGTTCCTGAAACGTAGAAAGCATCATGTATGTGGTAGTTGCTATCTATTATCACAATGAGGGCACTGACCCAGAGGTGACCTGAGCTGTCATGTTATGGGGCTGCAGTAGAGTAACTACAAACCAAGTGGGTGTAAGGAAGACTTAAAATATTCCCTGAAGCTAGCCCCAGACATCTCTGTGGTGGCTTTGGAAGAGCTGAAGTAATCAGAGCAGTTTCCTGGCTAGAGAGCAGCCCCAAGGGATCTGCTACTTTGATTCAGAGTCAGTGAGACAGAGTCGCAAACACCTATAGGCTACTTGGAAAAATGCCGTAGATCTCAATTAAAGGTTAAACTTCACATGATATCAATGCAGAGACCTTTCCAAGTTTGGCAGTTATTGCTCCCACCTTCTCCTCCCCTACTCCCACATACCCACCCACTCACATGTATGCATGCAGCCAAAGGAAAAGCCTCTCATTCTGCTTGAAAACCTCTACTGGCCCTACACTGATTACAGGATAAAGTCCAAACTCTTTAGTTAAAGCCTATTGTCACAGGATGGCCCTAATATGTACTTTCATCTTCATTTGTTACACTCCCCACAATCTTCCTGCTGGTTGACATACATCGACTGAGTTTCTCCCCTGTGCTAGGCATCATGTCAGATGCTGGGAATGCAAATATGATTGAGATAGAGTTACATCCTTGGAAAACTAATGATTCAGTAGGAGAGGAAGATAAAAATAAAGGCCATTAAAATCCAGTTTGAAAACTGACCTAAAGAGGGAAGGATAATTTGCTTTAGAAATACCGTATAGGGGACTTCTCAGTCTAAGAACATCAACCAAGAGTTCAGAGAGAAGGTGACATTTGAATAGCGTAAGAAAGGATTGAGTCAGAGTTACTCAAGTAAAGAGGAGTAAGTGCCTTCCAAGCAGAGAAGATAACACAGGTATGGACATACAGGAATAAAATGGTATTGTGTATATATAATGTATTATAAACAGTCCTTGATGCTAGGAGGTAAAATGAGAGTTGCCAAGTGGTAGTGACTGGAACGAGAAAGGTTATAGAAGGGTGGAGATGAGAGGGAATTTTGTATGCCACGTTGAAAACCTTAGAATGTATCCAGTAGAGATACAAAAATTGCTAAGTGTTGAACAATGAAGTAAAAGGACAACTCTATTTTGGATACATTATCCAGCAGTAACATGAAAAGTAGACTTAGAGTTATGTGGCATACATTTGGGAATAGGGAAGTACATTGGGAAATTACTGCAATGCTCAGATGTGAGATGATGAGAACCTGGTCAAGGGAAGAGTTGTACAAATGGAGAGGAGGGGAAGGAATAAGAATATTTACAAATTCAAATAGCCAGGCTTGACAAGTGAGTGGATATGGGTGGCCAGGCATAAAGAAGAGTCTAAGATGGCACACTTCATTTTGGTTAGGGCACCCAAGAGAATGGTGGTGCCATTTAAAGCCTTGATGTTGCACACACCTTCCAATATGAACCTCTTCACTTTTTAAAAAAAAAGTGAGTTGAAGATTATGCCTCAAGATTATACTTTTTTTTTTTTTTTTAAATCTGCCTGCTGAGCAGAGAGCCTGACACAGGGCTCGATCCCTGGACCCTAGGATCATGACCTGAGCCAAAGGCAGAGGCTTTAACCCACTGAACCACCCAGGCGCCCCAAGATTATACTTCCTCCAATTCCCCATGTTAAGTATGCTCTCCTTCATTTTTCCATAGTACTTTGTTCATTCCTCATCTACCCGCAGCACAAGTATACTGTGTTGTTACTGTTTATATGCTTTCCCCCCCACTAGATTTTAAGTTTCTTGAAAGCTTTGACTATATTTTGTTTTTCCAGCTCCTATTACATTTTCTGGCTCAAACTAAGGAGCTTGTTAAATTAATTAATCCATACCTGAAAATCTCAAAGACTTGTCAAACTGATCTAAGACAAACCAAAATATTGATCTTTATCAAAGAATGTATTTATTTCTTCAGTCTTCAAGGCAGAAAATTTGGTACCTTTACATAATATCTACTGCAGCCAGTTCACTTGTATGTCCTGTCGATTCTGCTTCAAAAGTATATCTCCAACCTTCCAATGTGCTATTTAGTCCAGGACACCAAGAACCCCTGCCTGCAGTAGCCACCCAACCTGTATCCCTTTCTCCCACATTCCATCCCTCTCCAAATTATTCTCTTGGACAGCTACCAGAATTATATTTTTGAAAATATACATCCAGTCATGTTGGTTTTTTTTTTTTCCTACTACACTCCCTGCAATGGTTTCTCATTACACTTCATACCAAACACTCAAATCCTAAACATGTTCTAGAAGGTTATATATGATCTAGTTCCTGCTACCTTTCTGATTTTCCCATTTGGTTACTCATACACAGACTGTGCTTTTCTCTCAGCCAGAAATGCCCTTCTCACCATGCTTAGCTAGCTATTTCTATTTCTTATTTAGGCCTCAACTAATTTCCACTTCTTCAAAGAAGAACTGCAAATTTAAATTATTTCTTCCCTAATGCTTTTATTTTTTAAATTGTGTTCTTTTATTTCATATTAAACACAATTTGTATGTGTGTGTACGCTGTAACTCATCCATTCAACTAAGTCTATTGAAGGCTTGTGTTCAGCTCAGCGTTGAGTTGGCTCTGGGAATACCAGGATGTATGGGTATCAGAAAGCTCATGGTCTGATGGTGAAAACAGGACTCAAATACTATTAGAAGGCACGTGGATGTTTTATTTATTTATTTTTTAAAGGAAGTCTTCCATATAAATATTAGTCCCTGAAGCAAAGTCATTAATGTGAACTGATCTCAAAAGGTCCAGGATCACAGGATTTGTAGAACCAGGCTTTTGGAATTGCTAATATGACTACCCTGGTTAATCTCTCACCCTGTGAGGGATGGAGTTTAACACTGATTTTTATAGTCTCTCAGCCTCTAGGAGATCTATGTTAATTGTAAAACCACTACATGACCTGATATCCCCCTCGATGGGTCCTCTGCCTGGACTGTTTTTTCTCTTACTTTTCTTGAAAACCAAATTGTATAGGTCCTTTCCTCATATTCCATGTCCACAAATCTTCCCTTTTATTATAATTGTACTAATATTTTTACCTTTTTGCCTCCCTTATTAAATTCTTTTTAAAAAAGATTTACTTATTTATTTGGGGGGGGGTAGATTCTCTACTGAGCATGGAACCCAATGTAGGGTTCAGTCCAAGGAGCCCGAGATCATGAGGCAAAATCAAGAGTCAGCCACTTAAATGACTGAGCCACCCAGGCACCCCCTTTTTAACTTCTTTAAGATAGATGTTGCAGCTCTATTTCTTTATATTTATTTTAATGGTAGGCAAATAGGCATGTAACATATGCATTTAACAAATGTTTACTGAATAAATTGGAAGAAAAGATGAAGGGTATTATATTCCGTTTCTGTACTGTAAAAATTAGAAATAGCTATGAAATATAATCTTGATAACACAACGATGTATCCCTTTACATGTTTGTGAGATAAAAAGAACCCAAACCAAAATAACACAAAAGCCAAACAGACAAGACAAACAATAATGGCAAAAACAAAAAAAACCAAGCAGACATGAGTTTTACCTTGCGCTAACATTATTCAAAAACTCATTAGTTAGAGCTTCCTGGTTTAGACTAAGGAAAAGTGTGAAGAGTATCAAAGTTTTAGACCAACTTCCACCCAACTCCATGCTACGTTTTTGCTCTTGGATATGTCTTTTTTAGTCTTTTCCTGGCTAACAGCTCTCCCATTCCACTTCAAATGATGGTTAACTGGAGGCCTGCTTAGGACCTTCTGGGAATATCTGGAGAATGGGGTGAAAAAGTCCAGTAGAAAACCTAGGAATTCTGATCTACTTTGGGGGTGAAGTTGGGAATATTGACCAATCTCTTCCTGAGATGTTTTTATGATTAGCCCAGGCATTGGGAAGGCTTCTGTCACTAAGGGAATTCTTCATCACATGAATAAGACAACCAAGATGAGAAATACTTGGAGTTGTGACCCCATCCACCCATGTCTTTGTCCTTTTGCAGTTGATTTTGAGGTATGTACCCAAGTTGACAATGTGATACATGTACCTGTAAGGTCATCAGTGGGCCACGACCCCAGCTGGCATGCCTTGCAGGTGTACTCATCAAAGACATACTCATTTTCTTTACAGGGTGTACAGGTCCAACAACAGCTGACTTCCCCCTTCCGGATCACCTAAGGTAAATATTTAAAATTTTGATTATTTTTTTGTATAGAGAAAAATCCAGCAATCTGTTATTCAAATATGCTGCTTTGCAAAACAGAAATGGCTTTCACATAAATTATTTCAAATGGTATCAGATAGACAGGATAAGTATTAATATTCTCATTTTATAATCACAGAAACTGAAGCTGAGTTTAAGTGATCAGTCCGCATCATAAAATTAGTTGGTGATAGGGTCTGGAATTAAATTAAATGCAAGTCTTTGGATACTTAGCTTTAGATATCTATATTTAAATAAGTGCCTGTGTTTATGCTCATATATAAATACAGTCATTTACATATTTATGCGTGTAACTGAATTTTCCCCAGAGTCTGTGTCCATCTTTACCCGAAATTAAGAAATTTTACTCTGTGAATTTACCTTGACTTCCCTCCAGTAGTTGAATAATTGTTAGCAAAAAACATCATATACCTGCTACAGTTCAGAAATCTACCCATATTGATTAAAAAATCATTAAGAATTTCTACTGAATTAAGAGGTAGAACATGATTTTTATTTTTTCTGGAGTTTGTCTCTTGGTCTGTTTCTACTCAAAATCTGCATCAATAACTCACAGCTCATTCTTTCCTACTCTAGTAGCTTTGATTTGCTTGGGATGACAGTGGATAAGATCTTTGAGACTATTATATACCCTTCATCCATTAGATTTTTTTTAAGGCAATGGGAAATAATTGAAATAATTTAGCAGCTGAAGGAGTCCCAGATGTTATTCTTTAGAAATGGATGTCTTTTATTTTTTTCCACCACTGGTGCATGCATAGCCTCTGTGGAGTAGAGACAGCATTCATTAAACATTCCTATAAATAATTAAAACTGTGATTAATCACCAGCAATAACCAGACACAGTGATGATTATACCGTAGATTCCTTGTCCTCCATGCTGACTCTATTACTGACAGTAACCATGTCTGGATACTGATAGCCAGATACCATTGGAATCTGGCACCTCTTTCTTTACATTTTCTATCCTTTTGTTGGCTCTTGACACTGCAAGCACACAAGGAGAGAATGATGATGAAAGGGTCTGAATCGTCCTTTCTTTAAAATAACCAGATAAGTGAGGCAGAATCACTAATTAGACCTGCTTAATCTATCTAAAGTATTCTTCATAATACTACTATTCATTGACTGTTTTCTGCATGCCGCATGCAGTTATCTCATTAAAACATCACAGGGGCTCTGTTTAAGGTGATTGGTTTTATTTTGTTCTTTTTTTTTTTTTTAAGGGAGAAAACTGAGGTATAGTGAGCTTACAATGGGCACCAGGTGATGTATGGAAGCATGGGATCACTATACTGCATACCTGAAACTAATATAACACTGTATGTATAACTAGCTGGAATTAAAATAAAACTTAAAAACAATATAGATAGGGTTCATGATATTTTGAAAGATGTAGTAGAGAGTCCTGGCCTTGAGAATCAAGAGGCGCTATGGTTCTAGTCTTTCTTGTAGCCACTAAATAAAATAGTTGTGCAGCTTTGAACAGTCCCCCAGCTGACCCCAAGACCAATGCTTTTAAAATAATATCTAGCTGTATAGGCTTTCCTGAGGATTAAATAAAATAGCACAGTGATTTGTAAACTGTAGGATACTCTAAAAGTGTTAGCTGTTTTATTTGTAATATGCATATAAATATATACATAGAGAAATAAATTTGATTTTAAGGTAACTTCAACCACACTTGGTAAAACTATTGTTGGACAATTACTAGCTTTGTAATGCAAGCAAGCATTTGAAATACTGAAGAATTCTCTTTCTTAGCAAGGCAGGGCATAGAAAAGCAGTTGCATTTTTCTTTCTAAAAATATGCCCACTTCCATGCTTTAGTTTGCACTGGTGTGTAAATTTCAGGATTTTTTTTTTTCAGTTTTTTTTTTAAACCAAAATAATATCATTTCCTTTTCCAAGTAATTCCAATATTACAGTTTTTTGTTTTTTTTTTAAATTCTGGTGACAGCTCTGTATGTCTGCTTCTGATCATTCAGAATTGATTTTTTTCACTTGATATATATGTTCTGTTTCACGCTGATTTTGAGTATAAGAAGTGATAATTCTGTTACATAGTGATTCCCATTCTTTTTGAAGACTTTGGAAGTAGTGATGCTTCCTTTATGAATAACCATATGTAACACATTTGAACCTTTGCCAGACCAAGTGTACTTCCATCGACACTAAGTTAACAAATCTGAACAATGGCATGAGGTGTTGACATCTTTAATGAATTTGCTCAATGACACCCTTAAACCATATTAAGAAAATGTTGTCAATTGTATATTTAGTGAAAAATGATATATGGTTAGGAAAATAAAATTTGGAATTAAAAAGACTAAATAAACATTACAGATTAACTAGTATTAAAAATATGATACTAGGGAGTCAAATTCTTCCATCATGTAAGTTATTCCCCATAGAATGGGGTAGAAAAATATATATTAAAATATCTCCCAAATCAGCCATTCAGCATTTTGAAGTTATACGTTCAAGCTGTCTTGCTGTGAAAGGTCAAAACAAATAATGTCCAGGTGATAATTTACACAGGCTTATCTTTCTGCATGAGGAAATGGAAATTACGAACAATCAATATTCTGAGTGAGTCTAAAAAGAATTTCACATACAGAGTGTAATTGCAAGATGACTGGGCAAGATGCAGACTGTCACTGAATATTAAGGGTTGGCAAACTTTTTCTGCAAGAGACCAGATAGTAAATACTTTTGGCTTTGTGGGCCAGATAGTCTCTATTGGAATTCAACTCTTCAACTCTATTCATTATAACATAAAAGCAGGCATAGACAATACATGAAGAAATGAGCATGGTGTACTTGAATAAAACTTTATTTTTTAAAAGATTTATTTATTTATTTGAGAGAGACAGAGAGAGAGAACATGGGCACATGAGTTGAGGGAGAGACAAAGGGAGAGAGAGAGAATCTCAAGCAGACTCCCCACTGAGCACGGAGTCCAATGTGGGCTTGATCCCAGGACCCCTGAGATCAGACCTGAGCTGAAATCAAGAGTCAGACACTTAACCAACTGAGCCACTCAGGCGCCCCTCAACAAAACTTAATTATAAAACCAAGCAGCAGACTGAATTTGGCACATGGATTGTGGTTTACTAACACTTGTTGTGTACCATAACAAAACATACAGAAATTTTTAGTTATTCTATAAGCTACTGTGCCATTTAGCAGATACTAATAAATTTATATTTATCTTTATTTATCTTTCTTCTTTCTGGTTTTATGCTTATCAAATCTTCAGAACTACCTCTTAAAGATCTTACAATTAATACTGAATTACTTCAGTTTCATTTGTAATCATCGATGAATGAACACCTCAAATGTTCCAAACAGGGTAAACCCGAGGTTGACTGAAAAGAGTAAGTCCAACCTCTCTAGGTGTATACACTGCCTGAAATGTTGTACTGAAATATTTAAATAAGTATTTGATGAATAAATAATTGTGATATCATTTTTCTTCCCCTAGGTATTATACACCAATAACTAAACTTACTATTTTTATTATATCTTCATTCTTTCTTTTCTGACTTTTTATTTTCTGTAACTGTGGCCAGAACTTACTCAGTCTAAAAGTAACTTTTCAATGCCCTCAAGCTACCAGGACTGCCCCTTACCTGCTTCTTCTTGCTGCTCAGTTGCCCTTTTATCTTGTTTAAGATCCAAGTTCTATTTTCAGAAGGCTCCAGATGAAGGGCTAACTCCAATTTTCCTGTCTTTCCCTCAGTTCTTGTCTTCCTTGACCTCTCTCTTCCACTGATCACCACTTAACATAATAGTGTGCTCTCTCGTTCTATCTCTCCCTGGCCTTGTTGTCTTTCACTCTACTTTTTCTTCTTGCTTTATGCTTTCAAAGCAGATCTTCAAGATCTATTCTTGGTCTACTTTTATTTTCTCTTTCAGGGTCAGTGACTGATCTACTTGAACAGCTCCCACTGCAGCTCTAGTCAGTTAACTTCTAAATCTGTATCTTCAGCCTTCTCATTGTTGTAGACCAATGTTTTCTATCATTGGCTAGATATCTCAAGTTTATTGATATAAACTAGCTCGTTATTTTTCTCTAAAACCATTCCCATTTTTCTATGCTTGATAATGACACTTTCTAGCTACTAAGATTGAAATGGTGATTGATTGTCATAGACTTCTTTTTCTTCTCCAACACTACATCCAATTGGTAACCAGGGCTGACTGAGTATACCTGTCTATATAATATTTCTCTCAAACATCTCCCCTGCTCCCTCTCCATTTTCACTGCTCCCTCCATAATCCAAGCTTCTTGTCACCATTATCACAGTGTCCTTATTTGTCTCTTCTTTCTCTATTCATGTTTCATAGCTACTCATACCTCTCACCTACTATAGTCTAGCTTATCTCAACATCTTTGTGAAGATTACTCTGACTCCTGGTTAATAAAAATTAAATTCAACCTGCTTAGTATGACATTCAAAACTCTCCACAAATATGGCTTCAATCTATCATTTTGACTTTCTCTTTAATAATGACTATTTAAAGCAATGAACCCTAGATTATTCAGTTATTCCAGAACAATCTTCAGTAGACTACTTCTGTATTTTTCCTATTACTGTTCCTTCTACATAAGTGATCATTTTCCCACATCTCTCCCTGAAATCGTATCAGTTCTTCATGGTCTGATATTTTACTCAGAATAAAACTTTTCCTTTATTTTATATGAACTTATATACGTGGTCTTTTTCTTTCTTAATGAAGTCATTGCATTTTATATGATGTTGCTTATTTGTGCCCATTTTTCCTCAGCTAGACTATAAATCTTCTGGCAGTGAATGTGTGTTACTTATTTTTGCCCCATTGATATAAACTATTACATTAGCAGGAGTTTGATAAATATTTGTTAAGTTAATTAGAAATTAATGTGGTTTCCAACTGTGAACTATTTATCCCCAGGAAACATGTCTTTAAAAGGCTTACATGAGTATAAATGGTGTGGGGAAGCATGACTCAACAACTGGTTCAATCAGTCTTACTATTAAGATTATTGTGGGTCATACTATCAGAAGGAATTAATGAGAGAAAAGTAAACAAAACAAAACAAAAACACCCCCCAAACCCCACAAAACACAATTTCTGACATTAGAAGCTTATAATGTAAAAAAGCAAATATCTAAATTTTTTAGAAATAGCCAGTAATGGGGCACCTGGGTGGCCCAGTTGGTTGAGTGTCCAACTCGGTTTCTGCTCAGGTCATGATCTCAGGGTTGTGAGATTGAATCCTGTGTCAGGCTCCATGCTCAGTGCAGAGTCTTCTTGGGATTCTTTCCCTCTTCCTCTCCCTCTGCTCTTCCAACCTCCCTCCACTGCATGCACACCCATACATGCATTCTCTCTCAAATAAATAAATCTTTTTTTAAAAGAAATAACCAATGATAGTGAACACTTTTGAATTTATGACAAAAATTTTTAAAAAAGACTCCATTTTACCTTTATCTGGCCTTTCTCACATGGTTCACTGCACACGGATCTGATGATGTTGTTTTTCTTGGACCATACTTCATCATCATCCATTTTTAATTCTCCATTGTCCCAGCTTCCAACATTGATATAATCAAAATAATCTTTTCCCATTTCCTTGAAATTCATTATTTCATACCTGAGGAACAAGAATATAATGATAATTCAGCTAATGATATAAGTTTTCAGTGATGAAAAAGCAATAGATTTCATTTCCCAAAAATGTATCTACTGTCATATTAGTGACACTGGAATTTTCCATGATACTAAGCTGAGAATAACAAAAAAGCCTGTTTGCTTCACTTTCTCTTAAGAGACTTTTTTTTTTCTTTTTACCATCAAGCTTATACCTGAAATAGATGATAATCCCATGTGAGAAGGTGACTTGACTTCAGCAGGATGAAAGACAGTTTTGAAATAACTTCAAGAAGTTTAAACAAGTACTACTGTTAGGCTTCTAAAAAAGGTAGAAAGGTTTTTTTTTTTTTTTTTTTTTTTAATCTCCACTCAAATAAAATGACAAAATTTTCCTTTACTAACCAAGTAAGAAATTTGGTAAACCTCTAATCTTGTCTTCAGCTTTAAGGAATGTGGATATAATCTGGATAGGGCCTGATCTTACTTTTCCTTTTATCAACGGCAAAACTTATTATATAAAAGATACTTTCAGGAATGATATTTACAGTAAGTCTGAAAAGAATTTATGAGGTTGGAAGATGACAGCAGAGTAGGAGGATCCTAGACTCGTCTTGCCCCTCAAGTACAATTAGATAACTATCAAATCATCTTAAATATCCTAGAAATCAATCTGAAGACTGGCAGAAGAAACTCCACAACTAAAGATAAAAGGTAGGAAGCATGGAGACTCAGTTTGGGAGAAAGAGGTTATGGCTGCTGTGGTGGGGAGGCAGCCACTGTTGCAGAGAAGGGTGAGAGACAGACTGACACACAGGAGACTGCATGAGGAAAACGAATCCCCATACCAATTGACTTGGAGGGTAAGAAGGCCTGAATTTCATGAGTTCTTGCAAAGGGTGGGGTTTAAAGCTTAATGTTCTAAAGGTCAGTGGGCTTGGGCCCAGGAAAACCTGGAGGATATTGGGGCTACTCTTGTAGAAGAGGCAGGTAAATAACCTGCAGACATGCAGCATGGAATCAGATAGCTGAAGAGTGTCTGAGGCACAGAGTGGTGAGGTTATCTGCTCATTTTGGAGCATGTCTTAAAGAAGCACCATTCACAGAGAGACTCCACGAGGAATGAAGGAAATGGGAAGTGCCATTTCCCTGCACTGCCCTTCAGCATAAACACAGAGGTACCTGTGGTAACCAGCCCAACACGGACCACTCATTACCTAACTTTCTTAAGAAACTCTGACCCATGCTTCAGTGCAACTGCCCTTCCCAGTCAGTCTTGCCTAAATCTCAGCATGACAGGCCACTTCCTCAAGAAGACTGGACAAAACCCCAGCTTATACCACATCTCCCAATGCAGGAGTTTTTTGATAATTTGATAATTGACTTTTTCTGCTTGACTTATTTCACTCAGCATAATCTCTTCCAGTCCCATTCATGTTGATGTAAATTTGGGTATTCATCCTTTCTGATGGCTGTGTAATATTCCATTGTATATATGGACCACATCTTCTTTATTCATTCGTCTGTTGAAGGGCATCTTGGTTCTTTCCACAGTTTGGTGACCCTGGCCATTGCTGCTATGAATATTGGGGTACAGATGGCCCTTCTTTTCACTACATCTGTATCTTTGGGGTAAATACCCAGTAGTGCAATTGCTGGGTCATAGGGTAGCTCTATTTTTAATTATTTGAGGAATTGCCACACTGTTTTCCAAAGTGGCTACACCAACTTGCATTTCCCACCATCAGTTTAAGAGTGTTCCCCTTTCTTTACATTAAAGGGGAGTGTTTAAGTGGAAAACACAGCTAAAGGTGAAAGTATAATGGAAACACAAAAGCAGTAAAAATTAACATTCCCATAAAAATCAGTCAAGGAACTCACAAAATAAAAGGATGTAAAATATAATAACATATATCTATCTAAAAATGGATTCAATCTTAAATGGACCATCGACTTGATATAGACTGCTATATGAAGAACAGGTTATATACAAACCTAATGGTGACCATATATCAAAAACCACTAATAAATATGCAAAGAATAAAAGGAAAGAAATCCAAATATATCTCTAAAGAAAACCAGCAAAACATAAAAGAAAGAAAAGAAAAAGGAAAATTTTCAGAAACAACCACAAAACAAATAATAAAATAACAATAAGTACATATCTATCAATAACTACTTTAAATGTAAATGGAGTAAATGCTCAAATCAAAAGACATAGGGTGACAGAATGGATAAAAAACAAGACCCATCTCTATTCTGCCTACAAGGGATTCCTTTTAGAGCTAAAGACATCTGAAGATTGAAAGTGAGGGGATGAAGAAATATTTAGTATGAAAATTGATGTCAAAGGAAAGCTGGAATAGCTAATACTTATCTCTGACAAAATAGACTTTAAAACACAGACTGTAAAAAGGACAAAGGGGACATATAATAATAAATGTACACCCAACATAGGAGCACCCAAATACATAAAACAGTTAATAACAAATATAAAGGAACTAATCTATAATAATACAATAATAGTAGGGGACTTTAACACCACACTTGCATCAATGGACAGATCATCTAAACAGAAAATCAACAAGGAAATAGTAGTTTTATATGACACACTGGAACAGATGGATTTAACAGATGTATTCAGACCCTTCCATCCTAAAACAGCAGAATACAAATTCTTTTTTAAGTGCACCAGGAACATTCTCTGGAATAGATCACATATTAGGCCACAAAACAAACCTCAACAAATTCAAGAAAATCAAAGTCATACCATGCATCTTTTCTGACCACAACAGTATGAAACCAGAAGATGATTACAACAAAAAGCCTGGAAAGACTATAAATACATGGAGGTTAAATAACATGCTACTAGAAAATGAATGGTTCAATCAGGACATAAGAGAAAGTATAAAAAAAATATGGAAACAAATGAAAACAAAAACACAACAGTCTAAATCCTTTGGGATGCAGCAGAAGCAGTTCTAAGAGGGAATAGCCATATAGGACTCTCTCAATAAGCCAGGGAAGCCTCAAATAAACAACCTTACACTGAAAGGAACTAGAAGAAGAACTAACAAAACCTAAAACCAGTAGAAGGAAGGAAATAATAAAGATTAGAGCATAAATAAATGATATGGAAACTAAAAAAAAAAAAAAACACACAAAAGAAATCAACAACAACAACAACAAAGAACAAATCAATGAAAGCAGTTTTTTGAAAACAATCAGTAAAATTGATAAACCTCTACCCGAATTTATCAAGGAAAAAAAGAGAAAGGATTCAAATAAATAAATTCATAAGTGAGAGAGGAGAAATAAAAACCAACACACAAAAATGCAAATAATTTTACGGGCATATTAAGAAAACTATATGCCAATAAAATGGACAACCTAGAAGAAATGGGTAAATTTCTAGAAACATATAAGCTACTAAAACTGAAGCAGGAAGAAATACAAAATTTGAACAGATCCATAACCAACAGAAAAAGTGAATCAGAAATCAAAAAGTCCCGACAAAGAAAAGCAGGACCAGATGGCTTCATTGACAAATTCTACCAAACACTTCAAGAAGACTTAATACCTATTCTTCTCAAACTATTCCAAAAAAACAGAATAGGAAGGAAAACTTCCAAACTCATTCTATGAGGCCAGCATTACTCTAATACCAAAACCAGATAAAGAAACCACTAAAAAAGAGAAGTACAGGTCAATATCCCTGATGCACATAGATGGAAAAATTCTCAACAAAACACTAGCAAACCAGATTCAACAATATATTAAAAAAAATCATTTACCATGATCAAATGGGATAATTCTGGATTGCAAAATTGGTTCAATATTCTCAAATCAATCAATGTGATATATCACATCAATAAGAGAAAGGATAAAAACCATATAATCATTTCAATAGATGCTGAAAAGGCTTTTGTCAAAGTACAACATCCATTTATGATAAAAACCCTCAGCAAAGTAGCTTTAGAGGGAACATACCTCAATATGATACAGATCATATATGAAAAATCAATAGCTAACATCATCCTTAATGGGGAAAAACTGAGAATTTTCCCCCTAAGATTAGGAGCAAGACAAGGATGTCCACACTTACCACTTTTTAAAAAGAATTTTATTTGGGTTATCTTGATGGCTTAGTTAGTTGAGCATCTGACTCTTGGTTTCAGCTCAGGTCATGATCTGGCAGCAGGATGGAGGCCTGCAATCAGCTCTGCATACAGTCAAATCTCATGGAGGTTCTCTCCCACCCCCATCTCCCTCACCTGACCCCTCCCTTCTACACACTCTAGCATGCTCTTTAAATAATAAATAAATAAATACATAAATAAATAAGATCTTTAAAAATTAAAACATATTTTTTCTAACCAATCTCTTACACCCAACATGGGACTCAAACTCATAGTCCCAAGATTAAGAGCCACATGTTTTACCAACTGAGCCAGCCAAGCACCCCACATGACTTTTGTTCAGCATAGTACTGGAAGTCCTAGCTACAGCAATCAGACAACATAATAAAACAACAACAACAAGGCATCCAAATCGGTAAGGTGGAAGTAAAATTTTACTATTTGCAAATGACATCATACTATATAAAAAAAAAACCCAAAACATTCTACCAAGAAACAGCTAGAACTGATAAGCAAATTCAGTAGAGTCATAGGATGCAAAATCAATGTACAGAAATCTGCTGCATATCTATATGCCAATAAGGAAGCAGCAGAAAGAGAAATTAAGAAAACAATCCCATTTACAATGGCACCAACATAATAAGATACGTAGGAATAAACCTAACAAAGAATTTAAAGACCTATACTCTGAAAAGTATAAAACACTGATGAAAGTAATTGAAGAGGACACAAAGAAATGGAAAAACTTTCCATATTCATGGGTTGGAAGAACAAATACGTTTAAAATGTCTATACTACTGAAAGCAATGTATACATTTAATGCAATCCCTATCAAAATACCAACAGCATTTTTCACATAGCTAGA